TTTTGACTTACTTCTTTTGAAATGAATATATACATAGGAAAAGGTATTCAGATAATTAAATAAAGGCATCTACCCGCTTATACAGCATACCAAACCCTCTTTTAAGCTCAATGAGCTTTTTACTTTTGCTATAGTTTTCTAACGCAACCATTTGAATATTGTTGACTTTTGGCTAATGCCTATATATATGTGTGAGATATATGTTAAGACTCGTATGGTATTTTTCAGTGATACACACGACCGATGACTAATTGCTTAACAAGTTGCTGCCACAAAAGCGAAACCGAAATGTCTGTCAGCTGATGGAGATTTGTCGCGCTTGTCAATATGATTAGCCAGTTTCAATTTGCCGTCTATGGGCCACAAGCGAAATTTCGCGGAATTAAACAAATAAAATAAAAAAATATAAAAACGGAAAAAAAAGCCAGCAGAAAATATGCAATGACTGCTACACAAACATTTTGAATGCCCCAAACGATAAGGCTAAAGTCGACGTCGACGTCGACATCGACAGCGATGATGATGTTGATTGCAGTAGACGATTGTTATGCCTACTTTAGCAGAGGGTATCTTAACTTTCTAACGTAATTTGGTAACAATCAAAGCGATGTTTTTGAAGCTCAACTTAAACTTATAGTTATAAATATTTGATACTAAATTGACTATGAGAAATGTGATAAAAACGAAAATTATGCTTCCAGCTTGTCTTAAATTTGTTACTTAATTGATTAACTATTAAAGAAAATAGTTTTTGAAAGAGTAGACGAGAGAAAGTTAGGACAAATGATTGAGTTGGAGAGAGTAATATGAGATGAATATTACTCTGATAAAGGAATGTTTTCATAGACTTGTTCCTTTTTGTTTTTTATATTTATATTTATTTATTATTATTAACTCCATTTGGATTTTGGATTTTCCTTTATCCTTTTTATATATTTCTTCTGATTGAACTTCCTTGTGCACGATTTCAATTTATTTATTTAGGAATAAAAAGGTCTTTTGAATTGAATATTGCTCTTTATCTCTATGTTATCAATGCGTAGAGTATCCAAAATGTCGCATGACTGAATTCATCTTTATTTATTTGGCTTGTTGGCTTGCAATGGTTGTTGCTCTCTTGTGGCATTTGCATATTTTGAATGTTCGCGCGCTTGCTGCACGTTTTACAACGGCAACAACAACTGCGAAATGTTATCGATGATTGCGAGGGAACGTAGCTGGGAGCAGAGCTCAGCTTTGGGCACCTCGCCAGCTATGTAGCTGTGGGAGTAGAGTGTCATGATGGTGTCTGGACCCAGGACCTTTTCATAGTTATGCTGTTGTTATTGTCGTCTTTTTGGTTGTTGTTGTTGTTGATGTTGTCGTCAAACAATTGTCACAGCGTGTTGGCATTCACACGAACTTTATGTTTTGTCAACACCTCACAATGTTTGAACTGGAGGAATTGGAGAGCGCGCGCGCGCTCCGATGTGTCAAGAGTTAAAGCTTGGACTGGGTTACAGCCCATTAGGTCAATCAATGCTGCTGATATCAGAGAGTGAATAGCAGTCGAGGGCGGGCAAATGCCAACTGCTGTTGTTGGCCTACCGCATTGCTGGCATTAATAACAAAACATGTCTCGAGTGCTGTCAAAAATTGCAGCGGCAATTTTCAATCAAAGTCGCAATCATTCGACTGGCATTCCTTTTGTCAGCTCCAAACCCGGAGTCGGAGAAGTTCATTGTGAAAAACCAACACCCGTTCTGAAGGGTTCCTCAACAACTGCAGGTCGCAACAAAAGCGTAGCTACTAATAATGAGCGGAACCGGCGAACGACTCTGCACCATTGTATCTTGTCTCTCCCCTCTCTCTCCCGCTCTCTCTCTCTCTCTGTCTCTCTCTATTTTCCTTTATCATTATTATATTTATGGCACAATTTAATTTTTTTCGCATATAATACATAAAAAAACACTTGTGCTTCGCCGATGCTGACAAGCGGAATATCTTTTTTCTCGCGATCGATCGTTGCAGCTCCATGGCGATCGCTCGCTGAATAGATCACTCAGTCCCAATGAATTATTGATGGACTGACAACAAACGAAAACAAAAAAATCATACACAATCGAGAGAAAGAGACAGGGAGAGAGTGTGTCAAAGATAGAGACAGAGAGAGGGGCAACTGTAAGCTGTAGCTTTGACTTTAATGTGGCAGGCGAGCCGATCGATACGTCCAATCTTTGTGACTTTGTCAACATTGTGTCTCGCTCTCGTCAGTCGCTTCAGTGCCCCCCATCACTCCTTGGCCAGCATTGTGATATATTGTTTCGGTAGCATTTTGTTAAACGTGATCAATTTTTAATTACCCATCAGCCATCGATCGTTGATCGCTGATCTTTGTTGTTGTTCTTGGTCCTTTCCTTCAATCGCACCGCACAAATGCAACCTGCACGTTTTGTCGCATGTCATTCCACGATTTATGCTACCCGGGCTCCAATCGAGCCGACTGAGCGACTTTAATAAATGTATCTTGCCGCTTTTGGCCGCAAGTTGCAGCTTCGCTTCTTTTTTTTCCTTTTTTTTTTGTTGTTTTTTTAGTCAGCGACTTGCAAGTTGAAGTCGCCTGATTGAGGCTACTTATGTGATCTGACTGGCTGGTTGGTTGGCTGCCTGGCGCTGAGTGTGCGTAAAATTTTTAATTAGCTTTGTCTAATTAACACTTGGACACAGAGAAATGAACGTGCTGACGACGGCCCGAAGCGTGCCACCTCTAAGGCGTGAAGATCAAAAGGTAAGCGGGCCAATTTTAAGCGCTGGAGGAAGCTGTAGTTAGACATCTCTACATCTCTACTGATAAGACGCCAATTAGTGTTAGCCCTCGTAGAAAGTTTTAATGAAAGATTCAGATTATTGTACAGTGAACTTTAAAATGGGCGTGTGTCCGAGATCCTACCAGACGCAAACAGGTTAATCAAAGGTATACGCAATGAATGTGCGTAGAAAGTCCGAGCTATTATGAGCTTACTATTTATTCTATATATTCATCAAAATTGGAAAGAAAATCAATGACTAATTTAACCTAAGGAACAAAGAGTAAAAATTTCTTGAATATCCGAGCTTAGAATTTATTCTGTATCTTCAGCAAAATGAAGAAAGCAAAAATTTTAATATATTTACCTATTTTTTTGAACCATACTTATAAATTACTTTGCCATTAACAAGCTTATACAATTTTCCACAATTATTAAAACTGGTTCCAGCTAGTCCCCATTTTTATTTCAACAATAAATATCATATTAATATAAAACCTGTTTCTTCCAGATTATATGCAAGCCACATAACCAAGGTCCTTTAGTACTTATTTTAGACTGGTGATCTTTTATAGGCTTACTATAAAATCTAGTAATACTGCTTAAATCTCACTCTCAAAACATCAACTTGAAACCGTTAAGCTTCTGCTTTTGTTTCTGTTCCTGTTTGGTGAAAATGCTTTGAGCCACTTAAAATAACCAACTGCAAAAGATACTTGTACCACCTTTGCCCGACACTTCCAGTGTTCAATTAAGTTTCACAACCTCAGTTGCAACAACAACATAGTTTCTACAAAATGGGCTAAGAGCACTAAAGACACTAACAAGAACAACAAACAAAATCCACGCCCATTTTGCCACCAAGCTACGGTTTGTGTGTTGTCTGTGTGTTAGCCAGGCACCGATTGCCGATTGCCCTCGGGGGCCCTACGGTAGGCAGCTAAATTAAAGTGAACGCCCACAGCACGTGCCAAAAGAGAACAACAGAAGGAGCCAACTCTGAGTCCAAGAAGTCAAAAGGCAGCCAAGCGGCCAGCAGCCAGCAGCCAAGCAGCAGCCAAGTTGGCTGCCGGGAACCAAACTTTTGTCTGGGATCCACTCGAACAATTTTCGCCACTTGAGTTTTCAGTTTTGTTGTAGTTTTGTTGGCCGCATCATCTGCCTTGGCAGCTACGCGGCAACTCCTCTTGGGGCTGCTCTTCTTTATTTATTTTGGTACACGAGCAGCAACAAATTAAAAAGTAATTCACAAGCGCTGCATAATTAGCTGCTAAGTGACACTAATGGGTGCCCGGGTAACGGATCGGCCTCCAGTAGCCTTCGCTTGCACCTCCTCAAAACTAATCCCTGCCCCGCCTGCCCCGCCCTGCTCTACCTCATTGCACTGATGCACTTTTGGGCGCGTTGTGTGGGCAACCAAAGTTTTTGGCTGATGCCACTTTACATTTTGTATACCCTTCGATTGAGTATTACTCATTTCACATGCAGTTTGTTTTTGTGAACTAGAATTTTGATTTATTTATGTGTCTTTTCCTTTGTCGGATTGTTTACTTCTATTTTTGATATTTTTCTTTTCGATTCGATATTCATTTTAATTTATTTTCTTATGAGCACTTAAACTTGACTTCTTCAAAACGGTTTTCCAAACATATTTTCTGTCAATGTTTACCAATTTAATTTTTAGTCTTCGTTTAATATTAATTTAAATTTCAGTATTCAATTTAGTGCTCGACAATTAGTTTTCAACCAATTGTGTATAGATAATATATTTGGGCTTTTTATAACAATTTCTCTATATTCCATATTGTTCCTGGCTTTAATTTATGACTCTTATCAGCTAAACAAATTAATATTGTATTATGTTTAAGGGCATTCAAGTTTCGCCTCTTTGACATTTATGTTTCCCAAAACTTATTTTTACTCTACAGTGTTTTCTTTTTTTTTAGTTTTTTTTTAGAATTTTCTTCTGGTTGCAGCTAATTGATTTGCGTTTGTGTTTTGTGGCCAAGCACATGGCTCCGAGCTGCTGCCTGGCTCCCTTTTGGCTACCAAGTTGTTGTCGAGCAGTTTTTGTGTGTGGCATCGGAATGAACCCAAAAATTGATTATTGTGCTGACAGCAAAGGTCATTATTGTGATGAAATTTATGTGTGTTTGTTGAGTGATAACGCAGCTTCAGTGTTATTTATGTCAAATAATGAGCACAACACAATGTAACACAAAACACAATTGTCGAGCTCGCTCAGCCACATGATAGAGTTGCCAAAAAAAAGTCAACATTTAAACAAATATCAATGGTAAGCTTTATAAAAAGCTGAGGTGCTTCGATCATAAATACTTTCTGCCCACAGCACATGTCTCTAAATTCTCCTCTACAGCGTCTTGAAAACAATTACAATTATGAATCTGCACAGCTGAATGGCAATGATGATAATGAAGTCATTTCAAGCACGGAGTACAAAATGGATTCAAGCCAACGATTAGATCAACACCCAATCCAAATAACTGAACAAAATCCCGAGCTTAATAATACTCTGAAAACGATACCTTTTCGGAATTTCGTGCGAAATATGAAGCCAGAAGCGAAGAGCAGAAAATATATTCGAGCTAGCATATCCACGGGAAATTTCGATATTGGTGGAAAAACTAAAAGGAAAAGAGATCTAGAATGTGCAAGTGGGCAACAAACCGACTCAGAGCTGAGTCAAATGTCGCAGTCAACGAATGATGAGTCGAAAACATATAGTCAAGTTTATAGTGAAGTCTGTGAGGAGTCTAGAATGCGTCAAGAAAAGGCTGAACAGATTCGCAGAGTATTCACAAATCAAATATCCAAACGGCAGCAGGAACAGATTAAATACTCTAGCAAATACAATAGGACCAGGGATCGTACAGTGCGATGGGTAGCCAACTTGGGTCAACCGTACAAGGATGACTATTATACAACGGAGACTTCAAGTGACAGCGATCCAGAATCGGACAGCTGTCAGCAGTCCTTGAAAGATTTTCCTTTTACCGAGGAGGCTTCCCAAAGCCTAGTCCAAGAACAATTAGATGCAATACCTTCTTATCAAAATGGTGCATACGATGACTTCCACGTTGCGGAGTACATGGATAAGCTGGCAGCAACTTTTAATGCTCAAGCGAAGCAAGCGAAGGGGATCTTAAGCGAATACAAGAGATGTGTTCAGGTTCTTGAACCTTCGCCAAAGACTAAGAATCCGAAATTCCTGGCAGAGAATGGGAAGGGCAAAATAAGAACTGAGGTGCTGCAATTCGAGCACTGTAATGTTTACCAATTGAAACAATCGAATAAAAGTAAATGCCACTCAAAGGAACAGATTAATAGTCATATTCAAAATTGCTCTGAAATAATTCCGAAAATACAGTACAATATGGTAAAAAGTAGTGCAGAATTTGATGCAAATAGTTCGGGCGTATCTTCAAAACATACTGAAAAGCGAAAGACCCAAAAGACTAGCTCCATAAAAACTGTTCATTTGAAACCAGTTGAAGATTGCATAGATTCGGAAACTTACGCTGAAAGCGAAGAAAATAGTAACTCGGAGAGAAATTATGTTGAGAAGCGAAAAACTACAGCTAGAATAATGCCGGACAGTTGCGAAAGTGAAACAGGTTCACTGAGAACTAAATATAGTAGTAAGAAACCCAAAAAGGATGATAATAACAGTGGCACATTCTCATATTGTTCATCGAACTCTTCTACCCAGAGTAGTAGATACTCTCAGTATGGCGATAATTTCCCAACTGAATCTTTTGAGGGTTATTCACTAAGTGGGCATGTGAGCGTTAGCAATGATGACTACTATTTGAGTAGCAGAAGTGAGGCTGCAGCCAGTTTTACAAACAGCAGAACACGATCTCGGATTCATGCAGCAACCAAGAAATATCAAGATCGTGCTAGTAGCCCCATTCAGATTATATCGGTAAGCAATCAGACAACCGATCCCATAACTGGGGAGATGGAAAATCATGATGATGGGGCGAGTGAGCGGAAGGTGCCAGAAAGTGACAGATCCACTAGAAGTGTGCTGGACCAACAGCAATCCGATTCCAGCAACTACAGCGAAGACAAAGGTGTACAGTATCCCAGCGGGGATGAACTGCAGCAATCAGCAAAGAGCTCGCTGAGCGTAGAGAATAGTGCAGAGCAAATCAAAGCCAAGTGCGAATCGCTCGACATAAGTTCAGGTGATGACAGTAAGAAAGACGGCAGCTCCAATAAAATGGGTTGCAGCTTGCTGCCAAGTGGAAATGGCAGCAGCGACTTCAGCATATCCAGCTATGAGCCCGGCCAGCGTTTCTATCGACGCACCCAACCGTGGCATGATGACGACAACATTAATCCCTTTGACGACAACGAGAACGACGACGACTCAGAGCCGCTGAGCTATAAGAAGTATGTGGCCCGCCTGGCCGAGCGAGCACTGCGATATTGTACCAACTATTACAACTATTATGATAAGGGCAGCAAGCTACGACCAGTCATGGAGGTGGAGATCTCGGAGAAGGTGCAAATGATCTACAACTCGGAAATGCAGTTCCAAACGTTGCGGCACCTCAAGAAACGTGATAAGCTGCTGCAACAGTTGAATGAGCAGCTGCAGCAACAACTAACACTGATTGCGCCCAGCTTTCAGTGAGCTACACATAAACCAACCACATATTATATTTTGTATATGAACTTTAAGCGCTTTAAGTTCCGACTTGTAAAAACTAAAGCATAATTTGTTTTATTGCACACGAACTCAAACAATGGCCAGTACAGCAAACTATAACGAAATTTATGTGAGGCTGTTGTTGCAGGTTGCCATTCGTTACCAAAACTGTGCACAGCGAGAAAAAATCGGTCGATAAATTTGATTTGTTTTCATAAGTAAATCGTTTTGAAATCCGGCATGATTTACACAAATACCAAATCGACCAAATTCGACATCGATTTTTCTCTCTGTGTGGAAATGTATGTTGCACGTTGGCAATACTTGAAACTTTCAGCGAGCAGGCAGCCGCCTTCAAGTCTGGTCCTGCACAGTGCATAAATCAGTTTTAGTGCACTCGCAAGGGTCTTGCTGAAGGCTCAAGTGCTCGAAAGAGAGGCAGGGCTTGATGGAGGACACCGAGAGATGGAGGCAGGGGAGGGAGCTAGTGTTGGCGTTGGCGTTCCTCTAGCATAATTAGGCTTGTGGCCCTGCCCCTGGCTACTGTTAGTCTTCAGTTGCGATTGCAGCACATTCATTTTCTTCACACATACTAAATATGGGGCGCTGTTGTTTACAACATCAGCCTCAAGAGTTAGTCAGCATAGACATTATGTTTTGGATCTGGGGGTGTTGCACTTGTTGCAACTACTGCTGCTGCTGCTGCTGCTGCTGCTGATGATGGTGCTGCATATTTCCCATTCCAATGATCCTCTTTAATTGCTAACCAAACACAAGAATGTTCTACACTGCGCTGTGCCCAAAAGTGAGCAAATATTGTTTTAAGGCACATCAACATATTTCACCTGTCTAATGAAGACTCTCAGACATTGACTTGCCTTTCGATTTGGGTTTTCTGATTGTATTCCTTGCCTACATTTTACAACGATGTGCCGCTGGATATGTTTATAATTTACGATAGAAACCAAGAGTGTGAATGGAACAGAGATAGAGAGAGAGAGTGAGAGATAGAGATGGAAATGTGTATTTTCATAGGGAAATTTTTGATAGTTTTACAGGTTGTGTAAATACACTTGAGGAACTTGCTGCAACTATGTTGCAATGCCGAAGAAATTATTAAGTTCTACGTTGTCTTACTCAATATTTTCAATTCAAGTGAACTAAATTAATTATTGTTAGGATCCACTTACAAATAAGATTAAATTAAAGTCTTGGGTGCTGATCTAAGACCAGTAGATTAAGGACTAATTCGTGGACTGATTGCTTGTTAAAGTTATCTACCATTTTTACCATTTTAAATATTATACACAATAGCTATTAACTAATTAAGGCTAATAAGCTTTCTGTTACAAGATTCTTCAAGCTTACCACTCATTTGTACACAATTACTCTACCTGATCGCTTCTATTATCCCTTAATATTTTAATATACAATTCATAATTTGCACCTGTCCTAGACCATTGATCTAGTCTCGCTTCCTTTTATTTGAACTACAATTTCATACAGACAGATTTCACAGACTCCTCCTGGCTACTCGTACTCCCTCCGCTTGGTCACTTCCCACACGTACTGTTCAGTTCAAAAGATTTCCCAAAGTCATCGCAGTCCATATCACAGAGCAGCAGACGGCATAATTTAGACAATTCCCTTCATTTATTATGAAAAATGCACTCAATTTATATGACTTGATTATAAAGGGTCGTTGCAAAAAATGAAAAGGAAGAGAAAAATCAGTGCTATATTTGCTCAGGCATTGACATAGAATTCCCAGTGCTTAGGCAACGGCCAAATGGTCAAGCAGAACAACAACAACAGCAACAACAACAACAGCAACAACAACAACAATAATAATTGCTGCAGGCGCACTCCACGCCAATTTATTAAAGCCAACACCAAGTTGGAGTCGAAGTCAGAGGCACAGGTACAAGGCTGCCACAGTTGAAGCATTGGTCTTGCAGCTTCGAGCTTGCAGCTAATATGAAAAATGGCACGAAATGGCAAAGTCGCATATGCAGAATGCATAATTCATTTAACATTTTGTAAATCATTTGTTTGAATAGCACGATGACGATGATGTAGTCTGTTGCAGTCTGTGTGCTAGGGCCAGGGACTAGGGAAGCCACAACAACCTGTGTGAGAGCAGCCAATCCAAGTCAAAAAAAAAAAAAATAAAGAAAAACAACAACAACAACTACTACTACTCCTCTCGGCCAGTTAAACTATTCGTCTGCACTGACAAATCGGCCGCAGAGTTGTTCCCTCTGTGCTCGGGACGCCAGTTCATCTTTGGTTGCTGCATCGAACGCCAGTTCCTTAACACAATGGTGCTGCATGACGCGGCGCAAATATAATTTCGCAACTGTCTGCACATGGGCCAAAACGAAACGAGACACACGATGCCCAACTCCAGGCACAGGCACAGGCACAGTCTCAGGACCAGTCGCAGTCTCAGTCTCAGTCCCAATCCCAGTTGCCGTCCCAGTCCCAGTCACAGTCCCTACCTCAGTCATAAGTCACATGGCGGCTGCAACGACTTTTTGGGCTTGGTATATATATATATATACCTTCTTTTGATTTTTTTCTTTCTGTTTTTCTTTATTATTTTTATTATTATTTGTACATTTCGCGTTTTTGATTCCTGTGAAATTTGCATGCGCTTTCGATCCTGGCGAGCAGAGCTCCAGCTAATTTAGTTTTGTGGTCTCTTATTGAAAAATTACAAAGTTTTTTTTATTATTTTTTTATTCTTTTCTTTTCGTTTATTTTTGATGTGGATGCCATAATGCTGGCCCAGCTGTTATGGGCTGGTTTGCATTTCTTGGGAACTTGGGAAACTCTGTAATTTTAATGATCTTCGCCGCTGACATCGTAACTCAATATATCGCTAACCGATCGTTCCAGACAGCTTGGAAGCAGCAGCGTCTTCGAACTATCATCAATTTATCATTTTTTTTTACTTATTTTTTTTTTTGTTGCTGCACTTTGAAAACTAATTAAGTTTCTGTCGTGTGTGTGGCCAAGTCGAAGGCGTGTGTGTTGTGTGTGTGCCTGAGTGCGTGTGTGGAACTATTGTAATTTGGCTTTGGCGTAAAATTTTGTATCAAAAAACTATTAGCCAAGTGTAAAATCCATCATTAAGTATTGTGGATTGTGGATTGTGGATTGTGGTGCCAATGCGTCTGCCTCGATCGACGACCATCATCGATTGTCTTGATGATTGTTGGGAGCGGCTCATTGTTTTCATCGTTTTTACAAATGAAAACTTAAGTTGCGTGGCTTTTTAATTTACTCAAGTCTCGAGTCTTTTGTTAGCCACGCGGAGGCCAAGGATAACCTTGTTGTTGTTTGGCGGCTTCATAGATCTTGACCACAGAACAAATCAGACTAAGGCACAACAATATGGCGTGGTTAATCTTTTTGAAAACAAGCTCTTTGTGTCCTTTTAGTTACTGTTGAAATTAAAATCACACTCCTCATTTTTTAATTAGTTATAAGTATAGAAATTTAATTTAATTTTGTTAGCCAAATTTGTTGCATTCCTTCAGAGTGTTTGCAATTTGAAATCAAGAAAAATAATGCATTATTTTTGGCATTTCTATAAACTGTGTGTTGCTCCAGGAAACTGGCCAATTTAAGACAGAGTTATGACCATTGTGTATCTCTGGTCGAAGCCACTTTTATACATCATATCAAAATTTATGAACTCGCTGACAAACTATTTCCATTTTTACAGTTGTGCTGAAGGTGAATTAAAACTGCCAACAGCCGCACAAATTAGTTGACCACAAAATCCAAATAACAACTATAACTAAAACTAGTCAAAATTAATTTATGTTATTTAAAAGTCGCTTAGCTTTTTGTACACCAACCCAAAACTATACAGCAACAACAGCAACAACAACAACAACAATAAATATAATGAGAGCAACAACAAAAGCGTGCAAAATGTTTGCCTGTCCTCAGCTGGCTGCATCGCTGTCGCCGTCGCTGTTGCTGTCACAGTCGCTGCCTACTGCTAGTTGATTCGGCAGCCCCCCGCCCCTTGTCGACCCCCCTGCTTACCCTGTCTATGGGCATATTGGGTCCTATGAACACTCGTTTCCGACGTCAATTTATAAACGCGTTCAGTTTAAATTGCAACAAATAGTCGCTCATTGAAACTTAAATTGTGCCGACACAAAGTGAACGGTTGACAGTGTAAGTGTGTGTGTGTGAGTGTGTGTGTGAGAGAGAGAGAGAGAGAGCGCACAGCCCGGCCATGCTAGAGCGAGATGACATGCCCAGATATATAGTTCAGATACAATGGGTGTAGAGCTTTGTGTCAACAAGTTTTTTGTCTGTGGCGCTTTTTGGCCATTTTTGTTGCCTTCTTTTTTCGCTCTTTTCTTTTAGCCAGCACAAATGTTTGTCAGTTGTTGACGTTGCTTGGTGGTTGCTGTTGTTGCTGTTGTTGTTGTTGTTGCTGTTGTTATTGGTGTGTTTTGTGTGGTCGCGGCTTGATTTGTTTAAAGGTTTTCTATGTCTGTTTTGGCATGGGAAAAAAATTGTATGCAGCTGTGAACGACAGACTGGCTTATACTTGGCTAGATCGAAGTAGATTTGGCTTTTAAAGTGAATTAAATGTGTAGCCCAACAGTTTAGTTAGCTACTGAAAGTTGTACATTTGGGTAACTTATTGATTAGGCTTGAGTTTTATATATTTATAGTGCAGTGACAAGGTAAAAATTACATGTGATAAGAAAGTCTTATATTTTTACAACTATAAACCGAGGGTAATTTTTTTTTTTGCCCAACGAAATACGTATTTGAATTATTAAGAGAGATTATAAAATACTACGTGTTCTTACCATAATTTAATTATTTTTTCTGGTATAAATTATTCTCAAAAGAAAATGTACTTGTTATTTTATCTAAAATCCCTTCTTATCCAATTATATTCACTCGAATCCAAATACATTTATTATGTGAATCGAAATAAAATTCCTGAAATTTGCTTGCTGCCTTCAATTAAATGCTCTAACTATATTTGTAAGACATCTGCCAGGCTCTTGCACTCTTGGCTATTTAACTAACCCAATCCAACCAAACCTGTTGCCATTTTCTTCGAACATGTTTGGGAAGGTTCGGCAGTCGCATGAAAAAATATTTTAAGAAAATGAAAAAGATCGATTTTCATGAGTACGCCGATAATTACACACCCTTGCAGATCGAACCCCAAAATATTCTAAGAAAAAATGGCTATGTGAAATATTAGATCATTGACTGACTGACTTTAGGATATATACTAACTAGTGATGTTGATCAAGAATAAATATGTATATATATCTCAAGGGGTTCGAAGACGTCTTGTTACAAACTTGACTATGAAACTAGAATACCTTCTGCACCTTGTGTAAAAACACAGCATTTAATTGCTTGGCACAACAGTTTTCTGCCTGTTTTTCTTTAATTTCAATTCGAGACTCACACTTGCAGTGAGTGCCGCAGCTCCTCAGCTCCTGGGGGTTCATCAATAGCCAGCGGCACAGTTGTGGCCAATTTTTTTCAGACAGACCGTCGCAACAGCAGCAGCAGCAGCAGCAACAGCAGAAGTAGCCGCAGCGGCAGCAATATAATTTCTTTAGATTAATCCAATCGATTTCTATTCAATAAATCAAAATATGAATTCGTTATGCTCATACAGCGCAGCTAACAGCTTGACTAGCCACAGAGATGGGGCAGCTACCTCTCCTATGGCTAGACAAGCTATTTGCTGCCCCTTACTCATACACAACTGGTATGCGTGTGTGTGTGTGTGTGTGTGTCAGTTTGAGGCACGTAACAAATTGTTGGGTTAATTAAAAAAACATAAATCGTTTGATTTTTGTTACTTTGTGAAGTGCTAACAACCGTGGCCGGGTTTGACGGGCCTTTCATCACTTCACATACATTGTGTTTGCCAAAAAAAAAAAAAAAAAAAAAAAAAAAAACCCAAAATTTCACTTCTACAACGCCCAGGGGTCGCAGTTTAGCATACACTTGCAGAAAAAAATACTGATTACAAATCAAAAATTATATTAGCAATGTATTTTTAATACTCTAAATTGGCTTCTCATCAAAATGTTTATGTATTTCCAATTAGTGTGCATTCGGCTACCATTTTTGCTCAGTGTATGCTAATATTGAATAACAGCGCTCGATAATAGCTGTTGTAATGATTGCCATTAAAATTTGTTAGATGCCCACTGAAACTAGATACGCACAGATTTCTTTTGGAACCGCTGTGCGAATCACAAAAACCCATCAAAACAAATTAACAAATGGAATTTGTATAAAATATACACGCTACAAATAGATAAATATTCATGATGGAGTCCGTCATCCGTCAGATGCCAAACGATAGCTACATGAATTCTACTAATTAACAGATCAAAATTGCAATAAAATTTGCAATTAAAATTAATGAAATAAAACAGTTAAATAAAAGATCTTTTTTATCACCGAGCGATTTGTCGTAATGTAGGCGTATGGATAACAGCCAAAAATGCAAGGTTATCAAAAGCTTGAGTCTTTTAATTTTATATAGCCCAATCCAGAGAATGAAAATGAAAAATTTCAAATTGTTGTTTTTTTTATAGTTTTTGTTTATATTTATTTTTCGTGTGTTGGTTTCCTTTTTTTTGTTTGCTTTTACTTTTAGATTTACTTTGTGTACACTTAAGCTTGGGAAATCTAAGGCCGAAAATGTACGTACGTATAAGTGTAGCTCTTCAAATAGACTTTTTTTACAGTGTATTAGTTGCAATTTTTACATTTTTTTTTTCGTTTTTGTACTAGAAAGCTGGAGGAGCTGTTTTCATATATATATTTATATATTTTTAATTGTGAATTTCAGTGTGTGTGTGAAAAGCTGCTTGAAAAATTTGCTAACTCTTATTAATTAAATAGTCAATATGCTTAAGTAATTTATAATATAGTATATATTTATGTTATTTTATACATTTATAGTAATTGATTTCATAATTTACAATAAATTTCAATTCTTATTTTTTTTTGTTTGCACCACTAAAACATAAGCAACTACAAAACTAACATTTAAATAGCAAAAAATTAGGCAATTTTGTTTTGTTTTTTTTTTTTGTATATTATTTTTAAAATACATAATAATAATAGATTTTTAAAGTACTCTCAACTCGATGATGAATTTTGTGTTTTTGTTTCATATTTTTTTTTTTTTGTGTTTTTATTTTTTATTTTTATTTGTTTTCGTATTGTTTAGATTTAGTTTATTTTTAAATATTTTGTTTATTATTTAACAGCAATTTTTCAATTATCAGGTAAAAAGTTTAAAGTGCTTTCTTCAACTTCAGAAATATTTGGTTTTCACATTGCGCGACAAGCGCCAAATTCTGCAGCCGCTGACAGCAGAACCAGTCCAACGATGGCGACGGCTCCTCTGGCGGCACACCGACCACCGCCTGTGCTGCTGCCGGCGGAGGCGGCTCCTCGGGCCACCAGTTCTCCCAATCTCAATACGCCGTCGCCGCGCCTGGATGCATTAGATGATGATGATGATGATGGTGTCCGAAATGATTCAATGGATTCATTGCCTCCGCACTGCCCGCCGGTGCGGCCGTATGATACCAATCGCTGGGCGGATGATGCTGCGCCGCCGGATGATACAGTAAATGATGATTATGATGCCCGGTGACGGCCAGCATGGATGCCGAGGCAGCTGCACCTGGTGACGCAGCCGCCGCTGCTGCCGCCACCGTGCTGCCCGGCATCTGATGATGATGGTGATGATGATGCGATGGCGGTGGTCCCAACGGTGGCGGCAGATACGCAGATGTGGCCATCAGTTGCAATGCAGGCGAGGATTTCGATTCCGCGTGCAGCGACTGATGTACGGCAAGTTGTTGTTGCTGCTGTTGCTGTTGTTGCTGTTGCTGTTGTTGTTGCTGCTGCTGTTGTTGCTGCTGCTGCTGTTGCTGCAACAGGTGGGAGGCATTGCTACTGGCTGTGCTGCTGCTGCCCGTGCTGGAGGCACCCAAATGCACACTATGCAACGGATTCGGTTCCGATTTGATGGAGTGCGGGGATGATTTAATGCCGCTGCCACCGCTCAAGCTGCTGACGCCGCTGCTGCTGCCGGCGCTGCCATCCAAGCGCGTCGATGGCGGCGTCTGAGCACCGCCCGTCACAATGCTCGAGCTGGAGCTCTCCTCGCCCTCGCTATCATAGCCATGCGACGGTGACTTCTCGTCAATGTTGCCATGCACCTGCAAAGCAAAATAACCAAAAAAAACACACAAAAAACAGACAAAGTTAGTTCAAGTTCAAGATTCAAAGCTGGGAGCTGGGAGCAACAGTTAATCCTGTAAACTGGACAAGTGCTTACCTTCATGTGTTTGCGCAGCGAGGAGGGATGCGTGTAGGACTTATCACAGCCATTGATGCGACAGTTGTAGGGCTTGTCCGAGGTGTGCACATGCGAGTGCTTCTTGCGGTCCGACGAGTTGGCAAAACGCCGATCGCAGCCCTCGTGCTCGCACTTGAAAGGCTTCTCGCCTGCAAAGTCGATGAAACGAAAAAGGAAATTGGTAAGCTATTGTTGTTGTTGTTGTTGTTGTTGTTGTTGTTGTTAATATTATGCCTGGGGTAGTAGTTTAAACAAACGACATGGTCAATGTGTCAGTTCTCAGGGCAATAAATGACATTATTTATGTGGCAGGCATAAGCTATATAAAATATATTTGTATATATATATATATATATATATATGTGTATGTGCGCATCGAAGACGCTATAAGAGACGCCCATTTATGAACTCGAAACACAACGCGACTCAATATCAATACAATTTAATAAAGGTGGGAAAAATGCGCAGAGTCTGTCCAGCATTTTTATAGAGAAAAATCATATAAATTATGCGGGATCAGGGCATTGTTTGAAATCGAACAGCCGCAGTCCCAGTCCCAATCCCCGGAACCCCTCTCCGTCTCCCGGTCCAAACCTTACAGCGGAAAATTCACCTGTGCCTGTGAGGCAGTCGCCGTTATTGTTGTTGTCCTTTGTCGGGACATGTGAAAAACTAAACGGACAACGGGTCAATGTGAGTGTGAGTGTGTTTGTGTGCATGTTGCTGGAAAAAAGGTCAAAAGGTTAACATCTATTATATACGAGCATTAGAGCCGTCTGTCTAACACCTTTTCCAACCAAACCAGCCAACCAACCAACCAGCCAACAAGCAACAGGCCAAGGTCTAAACATTTAAAGGTTAGTCTTTAAGATTGGGTGATATTTTATCGCTTATTAGAAAATTATGTGTTCGCCGTTTACAGGCCAAAGAGTTGCCTAAAGGAGCCGTTCAAAAATGAGTTTCAGATGTGTAAGCGATAAAACCTGGTCATAAATAATCAGTCATATTTTATGAGATCTAACCCATAATTTGGCAAATATGTGTTACATATGTGTATTTTGATGGCTATAGTTAGATAAAGGCCTATATTTAAAGCAGTTCTTGGAAATGGTATCATTTGGGAAAAGTAAACAACCAATTCAATTATTTATGGGAATATTCATTTAATTGACTGTGGAGTAAAAAATATGATTTGAGAATAGAACCAGTTAAATCTTATATTATATTATTATATTGAATGATTCTCTATAAAGTGTTGTAAGATACTTAAAATTACTCAAATAGCTGCTAGCTGCTAAGAGGCTTATCCTAAAAACACTATAAACTGAAAAATATTTGAAAGAAATATTAAATCTGGGTTGTCTTCAAGGAAATTAATATCATCGGAATTATTGCATAAAAAGTGTTCTTAAATATAACAATAACATTTTCTTATGATGGGTTCACAAGTTCTTTTTAGCTGTTATCAATCTAATAGCCATTTAGTATGAGCCATAATCTGCTTTGAGGCGACAACAACAACAACAACAACAACAAGAAGCGCCCACTTTGGAGCCCATCAGTTTCAATAAGTTGCACATAAACTTGATTCAGGCAGAGAGCACTTCATAAATGGAAAAAACGTTGAGTAAAATCCATTTAGCATATGGCATTTATGTGCCAGCTAAGCGGCCATTATAAGCGTCGCCTTATGACAATTGCAGCTAAGCGGCTCAGTTGGCCACAGAGGCAGCCACAAACACCCAACCTTGGCTCCCCAGCACCAGCTTCAGCTCCAGCTCCAGCTCCAAAGAGCGACCCACACAGAAAGCAGCCACAACAACAACAACGATGACGATGACGATGACAATAATCGAACATTTTCACACCTTGAGCTTAAAGCGGACATAGTTGTGGGTTAGGAGGGGGGCGCAGTTCGCTTGATTGGTCTGCGAGGGGGAGTGCCTGGGGAAAGGGGGGACAAGGGGGTCGTCGAATACACTGAAAAGCTGCGTTATTATCTGTCCCTTGGGGGCTTTGTGTATGCGCCATATAAAAAGACATCCAGCGGTGCTGTTGGACTTTGCTTTCTGACACGCTCAACAAGTTTCAGTTTGTATTTATTATTATTATTTATTTATTTTTTTTTTTTTTTGCTTTATGATTTCGTGTTGGATTCATTGTTTATTGTTTGCCTGACTCCCTTGTAATTTAATACTAATTTATGTGCCATATTACGCGTATTTGCATAAACTTTGAGTTTGTTTTAAAACTACCAAATGAGTTTTCATTGTGAATGGCGTGTCGCATTATTTGCCTTTAGTTTCAGTTTGTTTGTTGTCTGTTTTCCTTCCATTTTTTCGATTATTTCTATTAAATTGTCAAAAATTTAACAGTCATAAATATGCGTATTACCCGAGCAATCACTCCCTCAGACCCGGGCTCAATTATTTTGACAGACCGAATCTACAATAACAAATTGTTAGGAAACAAGCACAGCGAATGCATTTCGATTCGATTCAGAGATCTACAAAAATAAACCATTCAAAATATATACACTTTTGTACTGCATTCCCGAAGGCACAATGAAGTCAATGTCAAGTGTCGGCTTTACATGTGTACTTTGTAATAAGCGTAAAAGGCGCCAACTTTGAAGATACCAATTGAATTTTGTATTCAGTTCAAGTTGTGTTCAAACGTGCCAATTTTGAAGAAACGAATTGAATTTTAAATTGAGTTCAAGTTGTGTACGACAAAATGCAAAAGTTATCAAAAATTGTTGTGGATGTCATTGAAAAATGGAAAAAGAGTTGTGAAAAAGACAACGGACAAGTATATATAGTATATATATAGTAGATTTGATCAGCAATGACAGTCGAGTCGTTCCATAATATCTCTCAGCCCGTCTGTATGCCTAACACATCAAGTTTATCTCAATTTATCGACTTCTGCTACCATTTCCAGATTTGTAGATTGATCTTGCTAAAATTGTATTTAGAATTTAGAAATATATAACCATAAACACTATGATTTTCTTATAATTCTTGAATAACTTTTCAAACATTATTTGAATACAAATAGACTTGGCGCTAAACTAATAGATAATCTGTGATAATAATGTGTAAAACAAATGTTATCTTGCCTAAAATTTTCCATGCTGTTCTCAATGCTAATTACGTAGCATTTACACACTAAAGAGGCAGCTGTCTTTCTAATTGTTTTGTTTTTTCTCTTCAGTTAAACACATATCACGCTGTTTTAGCTACGCTTCTTATCAGTCTTATCACCTCGACGGCATCAACGTTTTGTGCCTTTTGTTTTTAAGAGTTGCCGGGACACAGTCAGTCGCCAGGCTGTCAGACAGACAGACAGACAAGTCAGTCTCTACGTATAGCATATCCCATATGGGCAACTCCTGGTGCGCTTTGCGGTCGACACTCAGCAGGGGGGAGAAAAGTGCGCGGCACGCGCCTCCTGCCAAAAGGGAAGGGTTTGTGTACCCGCTAAACATACGCATAATTTTCACATTTTATAGCGAGATGTGCATTAAAAACAAACAAAAAATGTGTGTGCATTTAAATATTTTATTGCTTTAAGTTTTCGTCTTTGAGCGCGAAGAGAGACATATACAGAGACAGAGCGATAGAGAGAGAGAGAGAGAGAGAGAGAGCGATTGAGATATGGAGTGAGTGCGAGCAGTCACGACCAAAATCGTAGCCCATTTATAAAATGTCAATTTCAGAGCCCAAAGACATTTCCACACTTTCAAAAGGACGTCCGGGCAACGAGCAGCGCAGTCCATGTAAATCCCATTTAGGCTGTGCGCATTGGCAAACTTATTTGAATATTTCAATAAAGTAAATCCCAAGCCTGTACATAAAAGCTCACCGACACAAGAAAAATAAACCGAAAAAGAAAAAAATAAAATGAAGCAAACTTCTGAAATAGGCCGCGCCAAGACAGGCTATAGAAATCTGCTTTGCATATTACGCCCCAAAAACCCCTCCCTTCGACCGCCCCAAAAATGCCCCATTAACTGCGGCCCAAATTGTTAATTTCCTAGCGGAAAAAAACGTTTAACATGGCGCCTGGAACGCGTGGAACTGGCACAGGGTCTGTCATGGCGTCGTTCCCATCGTTTCCATCGTATACAGCCGCGTATATATTCTTTGTTGTTGTTTTTTGTTTTATTCGGTTCGGGGTGGTTTGGGGTGCTTTCGGGGGTGCTTTCGCATTGCTTTGTAATCTGTTTGTGGGTGGCTTTAGCCAAGAAAATTGTACATAGTCGAAGTGTGTGCGCTTCTGTATATAGAGTAAAATACAAATACATATACATATAAACACATATATATATATATATATATAGAGCGAGAGAGATGTATGTATGTGTATACATTTATAATGCGGACTATGTGCAGAAAAACATATCACATATTTTGGGCTCTTATGTAATGGTAAAGCTGCTGTCATTTGCAGACACTGTCGAGCAGCCCGAAACTCAGCTTCGGTACTGTGTCTAGGTCTCTTCAACGTCTGACTCGGCAAGCGCTGTGTGTGTATGTGCGTGTGTGTGTGGGTGTGGGTGTTTTGTGTGTGTTGTGGATGTTTTACTTTTGGGGCGTTGTTTTCTGCTAGGAACAAAGTCGCAACAGCAAAAAAAAACAGAAAAAAAATTGAATTTTGTTAAACGTTTCTTAAGTGCTTTTCTCGGAAAGGGAAAATGCCTACAATATGTTTTTCATTGTTGTGCTGGGATTAAAGTTATGCTCCATGCCAAAATTGTAAATGGGGCACAAACAAAAGACAGAAACATCAAGTAAACTACGTACTTTATGTGCTGGAAAATGTATTTTACCTAGAAAGTAACAAGCTGTTTGCTAAAACAAATATTCAATTAAATCTCGCTCAGTCATGTCTTACTGTGGCTGCTCCAAAATGACTTTTAAATAAGGAATATAAATTGAATCAATTTTTTTTTGTTTAAACAAAGAGGAAACAGCATTCAGGCTGTGCCTCATTTAGGACCACTTGCACGTCCCACCTGCCGCTGGAGCAGCGCAAATTAAGCATCATTGACAGTTGCTGATTAATTGAACCTGAATCAGGTTTTTAATTTGCAACCGGTCAAAGGCGGACAACAAAAAAAAAAAAAATGAGAAGAAGAAAACCA